TAAAGAAGAAGAGTGTGCGAGAGAGAGCTAGAGAGAGAGAGAGAGAGAGAGAGAGAGAGAGAGAGAGAGAGAGAGAGAGAGAGAGGGGAGAGACGGTGGAGAGAGAAAGAGAAGAGCCAAAGAGAGGAAATTATAGCGGGTATAGGAAGAGCGAGAGATAGAAAGACAGACAGAAATTGGTAAAGAAGGAGAGTGTGCGAGAGAGAGCTAAGGAGAGAGAGGAGAGAGGAGAGAGGAGCAGAAGAGAGAGAGAGAGAGAGAGAGAGAGAGGGGAGAGACGGTGGAGAGAGAAAGGGAAGAGCCAAAGAGAGGAAATCATAGAGGGTATAGAAGAGCGAGAGATAGAAAGACAGACAGAGATTGGATAAAGAAGGAGAGTGTGCGAGAGAGAGATAGAGAGAGAGAGCGAGAGAGAGGACGGTGAGAGAGAAAAGGAAAAAAGAGCTAAAGAGAGGAAACCAGTAGAGTGTATAGAAGAGCGAGCGATAGAAAGACACACAGAGATGGGGTAAAGAAAGAGAGTGTGCGAGAGAGAGCGAGAGAGAGAGGAGAGAGAGAGAGAGAGAGAGACGGTGGAGAGAGAAGGGAAGAGCTAAAAGAGGAAATCATAGAGGTATAGAGGAGCTAGAGATAGAAAGACAGACAGAGATTGGATAAAGAAGGAGAGTGTGCGAGAGAGAGCTAGAGAGAGAGAGAGAGAGAGAGAGAGAGAGAGAGAGAGAGAGAGAGAGAGAGAGAGAGAGCCGGAGAGAAGAGAGAGGAGCAGCGAGAGAGAGAGAGAGAGAGAGATAGATAGAGAGAGAGAGAGAGAGAGAGAGAGAGAGAGACGGTGGAGAGAGAAGGGGAAGAGCTAAAGAGGAAATCATAGAGGGTATAGAAGAGCGAGAGATAGAAAGAATGACAGAGATGGGATAAAGAAGGAGAGTGTGCGAGAGAGAGCTAGAGAGAGAGAAGGAGAGAGAGAGAGAGAGAAAGAGAGAGAGAGAGTGGAGAGAGAAGGGGAAGAGGCTAGAACGAGAACGAGGAATGTAGAGCGAGCGAGAGGAATGGTGACGGTAGAGCGACGAGAGATAGAAAGAGCGAGAGAGAGAAAAAGACTACGATACATTTCTCCTGCGCAGTGCCCACACTACCACAGCCCCTCGTTGTTTCTCTTTACAGCTCCACCAGAGGGCGGGCACGGCGATCAAGGACGAGACGAGAACGACCTCGCTCACCACATGAAGCAGCGCCACCCTACGGGCGCGTCGGCTCTCCGTCATGCAGTCCGTCTGTTCGCCGGCAGCTAGCAGCGCCGGCACGCCGACGCGCTCCCGTTGCCATAGCGACACGACGCAGTTCTCATGCGCAGCGCGGCAGCGGTACGCGTGCACGCGCTGCTCGACACACACCAGAAGGCGATGAGCTTCGACAGGGCGCCACCTTGCGCCGGACGACGACGACGCCAGCGCCGCGTGAGGCGCAACGGCTGCAGAAGGCGAAGACGGTGCAGATCGAGATGCCTCCGTAGTCGCGGAGTACGCGAGAGGAGGCGGAGGGGGACGAGATCGTGTTCGATTTCCCCGCCGTCTCCCATGTGCGGCTGGCCTCTGATCAGCCCTGCGGGTCTCCGCCGATGCCCGCCATCTTGGAGAGCCGGAATCGTCCGGTCTGGCTCCGCTCGCTTCATCTGCTTGGTGCTTGCAGACGCTGAGAATCTCAACGCGGAGACTACGGTGTGAGGTGGAGAGAGGTGTGTGGAGGAGGTGAGGAATTAAGGGAGGGTGTGGGCTGGGTGGGAGATGGTGAGGAAAGGGGGGGTAGTGGGGAAAATGTGGGAGGGTGCCAAGGCGTGGGAGAAGGGGGAAAGTGCGTGTGCCGTGTGCGTGTGTAATGTGTGTGTGGTGTGGTGCGGTGCTGTGCGTGCGTGCCGTGCGTGCGTGCGGCGTTGCGTGCGCCGCGGCGTGCGTGCGAGAGAGAGAGAAGTAACAATGTTAAAGATACTCCAAGGTTTAGGAAAATTTTTACCGATTTTTCATTTTCAACTTTTATTCGATGGCTAACACTATGTGCCACCTGTGTACATGCTCATTTTTCATATAACGGTACATGTGAACTGTCAGAGCGTTTTGCTTGCCCGCGTACATGTGTAGCTGAGCCGCGCTGACGTCAGAAAAACGCTGATTTATCCGTTCAATTTCTGACTTAGTAGTCGATGTATAAATAGATATTTCTCTGTGATTACAACTCGGAATAATTTAATTTTACACTCGTTTTAATGGTAACATATTGCTGTAAGAAAGCGCGTCAGGGATTGTTATTAAGTGCCGTTTTTATGAGTTATGTCTCTTTATTCGCAAACTTTTAAATTCAAACGTGCGACTGGAATTTTAGAGCAGTTTTTTTTATTTTCTCGGTAATATGAAACTTAAAGAAAATCCTGATGCGCTATTTTGTACATATTGTGCTTAACATGTGGCGAAAATTTTGTTTCCATCACTCTTTCTGGTAATGAGAAATATCTAAAATACCATATTTTACATATGAAATTCAAAAATTTGTGTGGTAACATATTAGGTGCTGGAAATTCATAAAATTTTGCCTTGGCATAGAGATATATCTCCTCTATAAATAAAACAAGTGATTGATTCGATTCATTCGTCAATAAACGTTTAATCTTCATTAGAGCAATACCGTGCAAAAGGTGAGAGGATCCTTAATATAAATGACAGTTTGCCCGAGATATAGTGCTGAATAATATACGAGAGAGCTTATATATAATTATAATGCATGTTGGTTTAAAAACAGTGACAGGGAATTGAGGATTTACATATCCAGATCTCGCGTGATGACAGTAAAGTCTGGGCAATCATTTTTTTTTGTATAAGACGCTCTAAAAGATCATGGTTGGCAAATGAAGTGTTGCGAAAACGATAATTTAGTGTACACGCGTGAAAAAAACACGCGTAATGTGGCTCTAGCGTGACATATCTAGCCAGGGGGTCATGGCTATATCGTTATGTGGATAGGCAATTGATATCGGGGAGGTGTAAATGTACATAAGGGGTGAGGGGCAATGAGGGTGGACGTATGTAAAGTGTTATGGAGTGAGCGGTGTGTGAGAGTGAGAATGTGGAAGTTGGATGGCGCAACACACGCACACACACGCACGCACACACACACACACACGCACACACACACACGCACGCACACACACACACACACACACACGCACACATACATACACACACACGCACGCACGCACGCACGCACGCACGCAGCAACCTACTGTAGCGCAATCTTGTCGTAGATGGCCATGATATGAGCATCCTTCGTCTCGCACTCTCGCTGCAGCCACCGCTTCAGATACTTGTGATCGTAGTGCGCCGCGATCTCCTGCGGTGACAACGGAAACGATGACGTCACGACACGATGACGTCAAAGTCGCGTGACGTCATAACACGATGTGCGGTCGGAGCGCGACGCCGCTGAGCGGCAATGACGTCGTCACACAATGGCGTCATAACGAACCGACGTCATAACACAATGACGTTAAATAACAAACCAACGTCATAACACAATGACGTTATAACACAATGACATTATGACACAATGACGTTGTAACACAATGACGTTATAACACGATGACGTCATAACGCGATGACGTTATAACACGATGACGTCATAACGCGATGACGTCATAACGACGGTGTGGTTAGAAGGTGATGTCGTCGGAGAGTGTAGTACAGTACTTATACAGTACAGAGTAGGCTTAGATACAAATATCCGGATATTTTTTTTAGATATTTCGAAGTTTTCGGGATATTTAGAAAAATCTGGATATTTAGAAAATTCCTTAATATTTAGAAGATAACACACAATTTTCTCAAATATTAAGGACTAGCTGGGCTACCCGGCGATGCCCGGGATAAAGGAGAAAAGAGCTGGAATTTAGTCTGCCATGACGGCTGTACATCCATCCCTCTCCCTCCCTTTCCCCTTTTACCCCTTCTTCTCTCCCCGCTCTCTCCCTCCCCCCTCCCTTTTTCTCTTTTTCCCCCTTATTTTTCCCCTTATTACATACATAAATCTACTACATGAATGGGGGAATCTGTCGCAACTCGTTCGAAAATGTACCGCTCATTCGCAGGGGCGCCACCGTCCAATGAGATTTTATGCATTGGATTGAATTAATTATATTTCTTGTATGCCCCTCTCGGGTCATGGAAGAAAGACATAGTTACATAATAAACATAGGAATCATATGAGAACATGAGAATTTGAAAACATTTGACAAAGAATTAAAGTCCGAGTAAGAGTTTGTCCTTTTCTGTTAAGAAAAACCATCCAGCGGTGCAAACTGTTTTCAAAATTTTTGGAAAATTTGTTTTCGCACAAAATAAATATGTTTAAAAGACATTACGTTGAAATGACTGAGATATTTTGAAAAATTTTGGGGAAATTTAGAAAACAATTTGAGATATTTAGAGATTTTTTGGAGAATTTCCGGAAAGATATTTAGGCAATTTTTCGAGATATTTGTATCTAAGCCTAGTACAGAGTGTAGTGTATGTAGTACTTACGCGTATGAAGTAACTGCCTCGCTGTCCTATGATCTCCTCTACTCCTGCCATGGAGTGATCTATCACCTGTAATCACATCGTACCTGTATGCTGTGCTTCTAATTAAACGCTCTCTCTAACACCCCCCCCCCTCTCTCTNTGTTATGGAAATTGCGTTCCTTACGCGCAAACGTCATGGAAATTGCGTTCCTTACGCATACACGTCATGTAAATTGCGTTCCTTACGCGCACACGTCATGGAAATTGCGTTTCTTACGCGCACACGTCATGGAAATTGCGTTCCTTACGCGCACATGTCATCGAAACTGCGCGAAAGACGCGAAATCGTCAGCAAAACCTTAGCAGGTAGATTCCAGAAAACACGTATATTTAATTGTATAATTAACTTGTATATAAGGTTAATCATTATACATGATTAACCTTAAGTAATAGATGAGTAACTCTATCAAGCAATCAACTAGCGACATAATTAACATGTTAACGATGTCTCCACGTCATCGTATTTATCGCGTGGGCTTATTATTCAATTAATTTAAATAATGGCAAATTATATTAAAATTATAATTTCGTCATAAATTAGTGAGATTTTGTGTCGTCGTCGACAACGTGGGCTGTCTCAGACTTTGCCTTTCCCGCCTCTCCCTGCGCTTATTAAACCTTTCCATTCCTGCCCTTCCCCTACTTTACACCCATCCATCCACACTTACTCCATCTGCATATCCATCTCCTTATCCATCTGTTCCCCAAACTTCTGGGCCGCCTTTGATCCGCCCAGGTGAGCGTAGTGCTGCCTGCAAAAACGACGTGATCGTCAGTTAACAAACAATAGAGCGCCACCAATCATTGTCACGCACACACACACACACGCATACACACATATGCGCACGCATGCACGCACGCACACACACACACCCACACACACACACGCACACACACACACACACGCACACACACATACACACGCACGCACGCACGCACACACACACACACGCACGCACACACACG